CAACCTCCGCCTCCTGGGTTCAGGCAATTCTCCTGCCTCAGCCTCCTGAGTAGCTGGGATTACAGGCATGCGCCTCCATGCCCAGCTAATTTTTTTTGCATTTTTAGTAGAGACGGGGTTTCACCGTGCTGACCAGGATGGTCTCGATCTCTTGACCTCGTGATCCACCCGCCTCGGCCTCCCAAAGTGCTGGGATTACAGGCTTGAGCCACCGCGCCCGGCCAGGGTTCTTTTTTTGTACAAATGCACACGTACAGATGATTTGTAACTAAAAGTTGGACAGCACTGTACATTCTGTTCAGCAACTTGCTGTTTTCGTGTCATGGAGATTTGCTGATAAATGCCGACAATTTTCCTTATACAGATATGAGGTCCCAAATGAGAGGCCCATGTCTGTAAGAGTGGTACCATCGTGAACTGAAAGAGCTGGTGTCATGTACAGATTGTCTTGTGCTTTTTGGATAAAATATTAATGTGTGTGATTACGGAGCACTAGTCCAGACCTCCTGTAGCTGTGACAGTACCTGGGATACAAACCATATGATGTTTCCTGAAATCTCAAAGACTCTAAAGCATTCAGCCACAAGAACTGAACCATAGGGTTGTGGATTTAGAACAAAATCTGTGTAAGCAATTTCTTACTGATGGACAGATGATAAATAGTATATAATTTTTGTATTAAAAATAATGCTGGGCCAGGTACTGTGGCTGACACCTGTTATCCCAGCACTTTGGGAGGCCAAGGCAGGGGACTTGCCTGAAGCTAGGTGTTTGAGACCAGCTGGAGCAGTATAGTCAGATCTCGTCTCTACAAAAAATAAAAAGTTAGCCAGGTGTGGTCTGTGTAGCTGCAGCTGTGTGAGAGGCTGAGGCAGGAGGATTGCCTGAACCCAGGAGTTTGAGGTCATAGTGAACTATGATCATGCCACTGCATTCCACCCTGGGCAACAGAATGAGATCTCATATCTGAAAAAAGAAATGGTGTAGTTAAAATGCATGTGTATACATCTTCATCTACTCATGCAAGTACTCCTGAAGGGTAAATGCTGATAAATACTGAGAACTTGCCTTCCAGAAAGACGTAACAATTACACTGCCACAACTGTGTTTTCCTGTAGTCATTTTATCACATCGTCACCAATACCAGAATAACACCAATCAGACTGGTTAAAAAGAAATGTGGCCGGGCGTGGTGGCTCACGCCTGTTATCCTAGCACTGTGGGAGGCCGAGGCAGGCAGATCACAAGGTCAGAAGTTTGAGACCAGCCTGACCAACATGGTGAGACCCGTCTCTACTAAAAATACAAAGATTAGCCAGGTGTGGTGGTGGGTGGCTATAATCCCAGCTGCTCAGGAGGCTGAGGCAGGAGAATTGCTTGAACCCAGGAGGCAGAGGTTGCGGTGAGCTGAGGTCGCACCACGGCACTCCAGCCTGGGTGACAGAGCGAGATTCTGTTAAAAAAAAGAAATGTGTGTGTGTGTGGGTTTTTGAATTTTCTGTAATAAAGAATGAAATTCATCTTTTCATATGTTTATTGCCCAGTTGTGTTTCTTCTCTTAGGATTGTGTATTTGTATCTCTTGCCCATTTTTCATTGAGTCATTATAAATTGGCAATATAAATTAGTTTTAATTTTAATATAAATTAAATAATATAACAATGTAAATCAGTTTTAATGTTATTATAAATTTCTTTCTTTCTTTTCTTGAGACACAGTCTTGCTTAGTCACCCAGGCTGGAGTGCAGTGGCGGGATCTCGGCTCACTGCAACCTCCACCTCCCAGGTTCAAGTGATTCTCCTGCCTCAGCCTCCCGAGTAGCTGGGATTACAGGTGCCCACCACCACTCCTGGCTAATTTTTGTATTTTTAGTAGAGACAGAGTTTCACCATGTTGACCAGGCTGGTCTTGAACTCCTGACCTCAGGTGATCTGTCCAGCTTGGTCTCCCAAAGTGCTGGGATTATAGATGTGAACCACCGTGCCCAGGCCTTAATATAGATTTCATTATAAATTAGCATTATAAATTCATAAATTATATGTTTATAAATGAGTTTATCCATTAGCAATATAAACTATTATTTGTCGTAAATATTTTTGCAGTTTATGATGATGAGGGTTTTTTTTAATTTTTAAATTTTCGACATAGTTTTATGTAGATACCAATGTAGTAGTACTCACATGGTCAGATTTGTCATTTTTCTTTGCCTTATCTGACTTCAGTTTTCTTTTTTTTTTTAATTTTTATTTTTACTTAGAGACAGAGAGGTATGGAAGGAAGGAGGGAAGGAACCTGACTTCAGTTTTCATGCCTAAAAAGTTCTTCCTTACTTGTAAACCCTAAATTTTCCTCAAGAACTGTTTTTAATTTTTATTTGAATTTTTTACAACGGGAGGTAGGAATGGAGCATTTCCCCCCAGATAATGAGCCATTTTTAATGCCATTTATTAACTTATCTATGTTTTAATTTTTCCTCTTAAAAGAAGCTTTGAGAGCTGTATGAAGCAGCCTGGTGGCGCCCAGTTAGGCCTCTCGAGAGGCTGGGTTGTGAAGACCATGGAGACATGTTCGGGGACACCAGTTCCTCCTTGTGCCAGAGGCTGGTGTGGCTGTCACAGTGAGCAGGGCCAGCCAGAGGAGACGGACGAGTGTGCTGTTGTCCCTCCGTGGCGTGCTGGGAGACAGCGTGGCGGGGAGGACGGGGAGAACGGAACGTGCTCACAAGGAGGGGGTAGGAAGGACGGAGTCCTGAAGAGCCTTGAACGGAGGTAGGGAGAGGCCAGGATGTGTCGGAAGGAGAGGGAGGCTGTGGGGAGGAAGCAGAGTCCCTGAGACCAGGCAGCGGGAGCTCAACTGAAGAAATCAGGTTGGTGGTGGGTTTTCCCTATGTCGCAGGATCTGCCAGTCTGCTGCTCCTCCAAGGCCTGAGTGGCTGTGGCATGAAACATCCTAGGGGCTCGTAGGGTGGACACTGTGTCCCTCACATTTGCCATTTTTCAGGTGGAGCCTTTTGCCAGCTTGACCGAGGCCGTGCGGAGCTCAGTTCCCCGACTGCTCATCAACTGGGACTTGGTGGGGCCCTTGGCTTGGCATCCTCGCAGTAGGGACGTGGCCCAGCTGGGGGACGTGGTTCAGAGCGTGGAAAGGCTAGTGGAGCTTCTGGGCTGGACAGAAGAGATGCGGGACCTTGTCCAGCGGGAAACTGGGAAGGTACAGACTGCTGAGCAGGGCCATTCAGGGGGCCGCCCTCATCCCTGCTCCAGGGTATGGTCCCCCGGTATGGAGCCCTGTTGGCTTACACAGTAATAGCTGACGATGCTGTTAATCGTGGACCAGACACTACCTGGACCTGACTGGGCATTACTTTCAATACCTTCATTTAGAGATGAAGAAACAGATGCTAACAGGGCCAGGAGGGACATGGTCCAGGCACGCGGGGCTGATGAGTCTGTAATGTTGTCACGCTACAGGCGTTGGCTTCACCCTGAAATAGAGCAGCCGGTAGTGCCCCTCTAAGGCCTGGTAAATGATTCTGGGATATGGGTTAAAGAACTTTGAGAAGCTGAAGTTCTCTGCACCTGTGTGGGATGAAGGGCATCCCAGTGATGCTTTCAGGAAGTAATTGCTATGAAAGCCATTGATCTATTATAAACCACTGAGGAAAGCCAGAGAGCCTTGATGCTTTCTAAGAGATTCCAAACCGCCGGTAAACGAGGTTACAGAAAATGCAGTTTCCCATGAGAATCCTGTAGCATGTATAGCCTGGATATTAAGAGTTTTCAATGGGAGGTAGCAGGAAGCATTTAAAGTCCTGTGTTATGGTTACAGGCAGTTGTGACACTGTCCACAGCGATTTCACCAGTGTATGAGTCTGTTCTCATGCTGCTACTAAAGGCATACCTGAGACTGGGTGATTTATCAAGGGAAGAGGTTTAATGGACTCATAGTTCCATGTGGCTGGGGAGGCCTCACAATCACGGTGGAAGGGAGGAGGAGGAGCAGAGTCACGTCTTACGTGGTGACAGGCAAGAGGATGTGTGCAGGGAACCGCCCTTTATAAAACCATCAGGCCTGTGAGACTGACTACCACAAGAACAGCTCGGGAAAACCTGCCCCCATTAATCAGTTACTTCCGCTTGGCCCCGCCCTTGACTTGTGGGGATTATTACAATTTAAGGTGAGATTTGGGTGGGGCCACAGCCAAACCATATCAACCAGAATGTATCACAACTGAGGCTCTTCTTGTCTTCCAAGGCAGACGTCAGGAAATCCTGATCCCTTTTTCTTGCCCACAGCTGTGCCTGCCACATGGCTCAGGGCCATGGGGTCAGCACTCCCCTAACCTCCACCAGTCAGAGACCCCCAGCCTCCCATTACAGGCAGAGTTTTACCAATCCCGGTCACTTCATTATGGAAGCAGGGGACCCAGCTAACAATGAGGCTTAAACGTTGAGAGGCGAGTGCCTCCTGGCCAGCTCACAAGGCAGCAGAGATCTTCGATCAGCCTAGCGGGCTTTTTTGAGGGAGGCTTTTCCTGCTCCGACTTCCTTTTTTTTTTTTTTTAAGACAGCGTTTCGCTCTTGTTGCCCAGGCTGGAGTGCAGTGGCACAATCTCAGCTCACTGCAACCTCTGCCTCCTGGATTCAAGCGACTCTCCTGCCTCAGCCTCCCAAGTAGCTGGGATTACAGGCAGCCGCCACCATGCCCGGGTAATTTTGGTATTTTTAGTAGAGATGGGGTTTCATCGTGTTAGTCAGGCTGGTCTCAAACTCCTGACCTCAGGTGATCCACTCGCCTCAGACTCCCCAAAAGTGCTGGGATTACAGGTGTGAGCCACTACACCTGGCCCAACTTCCTATTTTCATAAAAAAGCAGATTGTAACCCAGGTAGCTCCTGTGGATTTTTGGAAGTGGCCCAACAGGATTTGAACTGTTTAAAAACTTATATAAAATGTATTATGATTTTAGAGTTTTTTATTTACTATCCTAGGGGTTACTTTTCCAAGTAGTGAATATTTTTAAGCACATGAGCATCAGTAAATGTTGATTTGGGCACTTAAATTCCCTTAGAACGAGGCTCTCCATTTAGCCACACTGTTCTGCCCAGGCCTGTTGGGATCTTAGCCCAGCAGAACAGCAGCATTTGCAGAAAGCAGCTTGTTTTGTGAAATGTTTTGCATATCTGCCGCTAGAGCTGTGTGACCAGAGATCTGCTGGCTGCCTGGATATGTTAACAGAAAACTGACACCTGTCTTCTCTGTTCCAGCTTGATGGAGCAGACAAATAGGATGGCAGCTGCCCCACACAGGAAATGGTGCCATAGGAGCCATCCACATCCCAATTCTGACGAGACCTCGTGCCTGAAGACAGCTTGGGCGGGTTTACACGTTTGGTCAAACCAGAATATGTGAACTGTGTGGACACCTGAGGCTGCCACTGGACTGTCTTCCCAGGCTGTGGGCTGTGCTGACTGGTAGGGCTGTTTCCGTTCAGGGGCACCCTGTCATAATATGCAAAGGAGCTGCCTGCCTGCCTGTTTGCGGTGTTTAACTCTTCACTGCCGAAGGTCTTAATGGAAAAAGCTTTCTCCTGACAAGGACCCTCTTGAAGTGAAACAGAGTAGAATGCCAGCCTGGGTCTGCGTTCTCTGTGCCAGGTCCCCATCTGAAGGCAAGTTCAGCATCTGTTGATTAGAAGACCCAGACTTGCGCCAAGCAGCCCCAGCCCTCTTCGTGTCCTGAAGTGTAGTCTTAAGGCCCTGGTGCTACACTTCTAGCACCTTGGTCTCCTTTAGCAGGGCTGTTTTTAATTAGAGAAAACCTGTCCTTTATTTTCAGCATGAAATACATTTTAGCCTCCATCAAAGGACTGCGGGTGTTGACCTGAGCCGGAAAGGGAACCTGGGGTACACGGCATCCCCTGTTGTAACAGTCCGAGGACTGAAGGCACCTGTCTCTGGATTCATTGGAGATGGCCCAGCTTCTCCCTCTGAAGGTGGTCATGTTCTACTGACGTTTCCTTACTCATCATCTCCAGAAACACCTGTTCCAGAATATTCTAGCACTTTCTATCTGGTCTCCTTGTCCCCACACTGCCCCTCCCCTAGGGCTTTCTCCAGTGACACTGCTAGAGCTCCTCTCTGAGACAGGGGAAGACTTACTCACTGAAAACCCAGGCTAAGTCCTGGCCACCTGCTGGATTGTGACATAGGAGGTAGAATCCACTGAGCTCCAAGTTCTGCACAGGCTTCTTCTCCTGGGGCTGCACCAAGGCCCAGCTCTGATGGCTCACCCCTTCAGGCACCAGTGGCTTCCCCCGGGCTCCCACCCACATGCAGGCACATCCCCCACCCTAGCATCAGATCACCTGCTTGTTTCCCCAGACAAAAGCACTTCCTAGTCCTGAACATTGCCTCTGACAGAAGTGGTGACCTAGAAAAAGTGTTGAATTCTGAAAAGAATGAAATTAGTTTCTAACTCTAGTTAATATTCCTTTACTTGATTTTTTATTCTTTGAGTGTCTCTCTGCCGCTCAGGCTGGAGTGCAGTGTTGCGATCTCAGCTGACTGCAACTTCCACCACCTCCCGGGTTTAAGCAATTCTCGTTAGCCTCCTGGGTAGCTGTGATTAGAGGCGTGGGCCACCATGCTTAGCACATAGGCTTAGCCATCACGCTTAGTATTTTTAGGTCTTTTTTTTTTTTTTTTTTTGCATTTTAGGTTTTGGAGTAACTTAGTGTTTTTAAGAGATGGGTTCTGCTACATTGACCAGGCTGGTCGTGAACTCCTGGCTTGCCCTCCCAAAGTGCCGGGATTACAGGCGTGAGCCCCTGTGCCTGGCCCCTTGAACAGTTTACACAAACATTGCTCAGAACTCTTTATTTCAGGACGATGTTTCTGTCTCTATGGTATAAATCTCAAACTGTAGCCACAGGAGGGGCATTCTCCTCCTAAGTGTAGTCTAAGCCAGTAGGAAGGATTGAGATTTAATTGCCAGAACCAGCGAGAACCTGGGCACTGTGGATACTACAGTGTGCAGCTCAACAAGGACCAAGGAGAACATCTTAGAGGCCTCCAGCCCTGCGCCCAGTGAAGACAGGACAGAAACCACAGAGCATACCTTGCAGCATGCGTTCTGACATACTCGTACGTGAAGTTCTGACAGGTTCTTTCTCCCTGTGAAGCACACACTCTGGCCCGCATGCCAATCTCAGATGTGCTTGCTGTGTGCGCCCACGCCCAACGCCCTGCCCTCCCACACGCATGCTCTTCTGTGGCCCTGAAGACCACTGCAGTCCAGACATAAGAAACTGAACCAGGGGCAAATCATGAATAGAACCCAGGGAGTAAAGAGAAAGGGTTTCCAAATGGAGAGAGGGGCATGGGCCCAGGGGGATGTGGCTTCTCCCAGGTTGCAGCCCCAAGGAAGTCTCTGGAAGCAGCACCAGTTCTGATGGAGGAGCAGAAGAGCTGCCATCCTCAGTCAGGGTCGGAGTCAGGGTCCGAGGAGAGCTGCTCCTCCATAGTCTCACACATGGCATCCTGCAGGGACGTAAGATGACCCCGGGGACTCATCCCCATTGGCTGGATGACTCTGTTCCTGTGGGGGAAAGGTGCAGTTGGGCTGGGGAAGGGGCTTAGTTGGCCAGACAGGGGTCCTGCTCACCCCTGGCTGCTACCTTCCTCTCCACCAAGTAGGCTGCTCCCATTTACTGGGGAAGCCTGGTTGGACCTTCTGTTAACTGGGCCCAAATCCTAACTGCTACTTCATGGCTTTAAGCAGTTTATTGAGACATCTAAATTGTCCTTAAACAGTCTCTGAATTTGGACATTGGACCATCTCCAATAAGTCCAGGGACATTAGACAGTCTCTTAAGTTCTCTGAGCCTCAGTTATCTGTAAAATGGGCACAATACTGACCTCAATATGCCCATCCCCTGGGGGCTTTCCTCCAGGGCAAGTGATTTCAAACATAAGTAATGCAGCCTTGTCAGGATCCTAAGCTCTCCTCTGACCCTACCTCCTCCTGGGGATCACAAGACAGGATGTGGGTCAGCTCTCCCTTCTCCCAGCTGCAGGCTCCCCCCAACTCCGCCTCATGCCACACACCTGGAGAGCCTGTCAAACATGGTCACCAGCTTCATGGCCTCGTGCTCCTTCTGTTCCTCTGTCATGCCCTCCATAGGGTTAGGCGGCTTCTCCTCCACCCTCCCGGTCACCGGGTTTATGCTGTTTCCCATGGGGTAGAGTGTAGGGAATGCATTAGTGACTCTCCAGGACAGGAGGCAAGACACACTTTCCCATTGGGGTGGGAGGGGGCAGGGCAAGGCAACTGCAGGAAGAGGCCTCCTTCCAGGAGCAGCACAGTTAACCAAGTCCTGCCACCTGCCACCTTCTGGTATCCCAGATAGCACTTAGGAACAGGAGTCTGATTCTGGAAGGTCTCGCCCATGCGTCATCCTGTCCCACCCACCCTACAGGGGTCCACATGGCTGTGGCAACAGGGACTAGGGGGCTGTGAGTGGAGCCCCAAGGGTGTGCTGGGGGCACACACCTGGCCTTCGCTTCCTTGTACTCATCTGTGTCTGTGTCCTCATCCTCCGAGTACTGGCCCTCGGGCCGGCCTCCCGCCATGAGGCCCCTGGCAGCCAGAAGGCCAGCAGCATTCCCATAGCCCGTGTACTTGATGAATCGGGGCACTGAAGAGCAAGGCAGAGATCAGTGCACGCCTGGCTCACGCGGGGTGGGGTGGGCTGGGACCCAGGCCTCCGTAACTCACCACTCTCAGAGCACAAGACAAACAAGAACTCGGCAGCCACCCTCTTCACGTCTGTGTCCAGGTGCGTCATGAGGCGAACAAGCTTGTTCCGCAGCATCTCCCCAACCTCGGGCCGTGTCCTCACATCCCGCAGAGGGGGCAGCACCTGGGGAGGCGGCTGTCCCTCAGCTTGGGCTTGGAGCAGCCAAGGGTCTGTGATCAGGGCCCAGCCCACATCCCCCAGGAGCGCCAGCTTCTGAGCCTCATACCTGGGCCTTCAGGAACTTCCTGGCTGGGCGGTGCGTCCGGGCACACTCAGTCAGCACGCTTAGCACAGGGGCTACGCTCTCTTTCAGCCTGTGTGTCTGTAGAGAAGCCTCTGTCATCCCGCCTGTGGCCCTACTTAATTTGAGGCTGGCGCAGTTACACCCCCACAACCCACTGCCCCCCACAAGACACACCAGCTGGTCCTGGAGGCAGGGGTTTGGAAAGAGACCCCTCTGCAGTTAGTCAGTGGAGGGCCAAGAGTGGGTGGTTGGTATCTGTGTCAGTTTTTAAAGGGGCGGGGATACAGCTTAACTCAGAAGTACTCGTAAGTTTTGTGACTTGGCTCAAATCACTGCTTAAAGTTTAATTTGCTTCAATTATAAGCCAGGGATGGGAAGAAAACACAAAGCAATTAAAGCTTTAGCATACCACTGGCACACACACTGACCTCAGATGATGGTGGCAAAAAGGAACAAGAACTGAATCCCTGCTCGGTGTACTTCATGGACAGAGAGCAGGGACCTCCTGTCCCTCCTAGCATGATGTACCTAGACCCCAGTATCAGCAGTGGCAGCGACAGGGACAGACGACCCCAGCTGTATGCCCAATGCCAGGTCCCTATCCTGACTGGCTGACATGCACCATGTGTGTCCTATGCTTAGGCAGGCAGAGTCCCAAGATGTCTACTGAATCTCAGTTTACTGCCCTCCAGCCTGCTTTCTGCAAGATCCTGGAGAATGGTTAGACCCCGGCTGTCCAGATGCTCCACAGTGCAGTCACAGTAATCAGAGGGAACCTTTGATCAGAGGTTCCTGTGGGTCTCTTCAGCGTGCTGAGGGACAGCCATGCTTGTAATCAAGGGCTGCCTGTGTCTAAGAGTTAAAAGCAGGGACTGGGGGGCTTCTCAGGACCACTCAATAAAGATCCACAAATATTTAAGCAGAAGTGAAACCTTCAAGTGTGTGGAGGGTGTCCACATGCTTCTCACGGAGGAAGGATCTGGCTTCTTGCCAGGTTGGACCTCAGAACAGCTGAAAGAACTGCCCATATCACAACACCAAGATGATCTCCACTTACCAGTGTGGAAGCACTGACCACAGCTGTGCAGGACAGCCAGTGCCAGAGTCACTGGGGTAGCCTGCACAGCCATCCCCAGCCTACCTGGTGCAAACGCTTCTCTAGGAAGATGAGGAGGGCATGAATCACATCCATATTCACTCCCATGAACTCCACAGAGTCTCCGTGTGGCTCCAGAGTGAGGAGAACATCCAGACACTTGGGGGGCAAGTTCCCCAAGAGGTTCACTGCATGGCTGGGGACAGGAGGAGATGGGGGTTTCGATAGGGCTAATCCCTTGGCACAGGGCAATCTCTGTGCCCCCGCTGAACCACACGTCACACGAGCTGACGTCTGAGGGTCTAAAGGAGCAGCACTAGGGACCAAAGCCGAGGGCAGTGACTGATCATAGTGGCACTGCCACTCAGCTGTACAGTGGCGTCCCCTGGGGAGGTGGGGGCACTCAGACACCCTAACCGCCCCACGCTGTCTGGGCCAAAGTGCCACCATCTCTGGAAACCCAGATCAACCTAGGGGCAGGTGGCCCAAAAATGGGGATAAGCTACCAAAATGCCCCAGTAAATACCATGCTGTCTTTTGCCACTACCCAAAGTCCAGTTGGCACCTTCCTGTTCCCAGATTCATGGCTCCTGTCCTGGCTACCTATTAGAAGCACTCGGTATTCTCTGGAAACACACTGATGTCCAGCACCATTCACCCAGACAAAGTCAGACCCCCCGGGATGGGGCCTGGGCTCTCAGGTGGTTCTGGTCCACAGCCAGGGTTGAGGACCACCAGCTAGACAACGTGGCCACAGAAAAAGCCACGTCCTCACCCATGGAACTCCTCTGTGCGGTCTCCAGCAGTAGCAATCATCACACAGTGCCGGAGAAGGGTCCCCAGGTGCTGGTAAAGGGCAGCATCTTCCTGACCAAAGAAAGAAGGGTTCCTGTGAGGAGCCCCCCTCATCCCACTGCTGCCTGCTGAGGCTCTACTGTCTGTTGCACTCCAGGAATATGAGGCACTGACTGTGCAGCTCCCACACTCCCTAACCTCCGCCTCCTGGGTTCAGGCAATTCTCCTGCCTCAGCCTCCTGAGTAGCTGGGATTACAGGCACGCGCCACCATGCCCAGCTCATCTCTGTCTTCTTAAAAGCACCTCCCTGAGTAGGAACACGTTCCCTGGGGATGAAATCACACACACTGTCTCAGCCCCACTCATGGCCTCATGGTGAAGAATCTCTTACAGTCTCCCCTGACACCACACAGCCCTCCTGCCAGACAGCAAGAGCCAGAAGCAGCCTCTACTTCCCTCAGAAACTTTCCCTGAGGTCACAGCCCAGAAGTGGCATCTCCTTGGCCTTGTCCCAACAGGCTGAGAGAGCCTATCCTCTCTATGTCCGACACTCAGAAACCTGAAGAAACCCAGTGGGAAGCAAGCAGCTCCAGGAAATGCTGGAGCTGAGCTAAGACGCATCCCTGGGTTGCCGTCAGTGCTCACCTCGTCCACCTCCCCCTTGATGGAGTCGAGGGTGATGTTGAAGAGCACTTTGAGGATCTCCATGGCCCGCTCAGTCTCTTGAGAAGGAAGGAGCCTGGGTGGGTTCCCTTCAGGGGTCACCCCCAGCGTCAGCTCCAACGTGTCAGTCAGCAGCCTCACTCCTTTCAGTTCCTGAAACAGCTGCTGGCGCACATCGGTGCGGAGTGCCGTCAGCAGGAAGAGTAGCCGCAAGTCAAAGAACTGGACGTCGTGGGGGAAGGTCCTCACTCGGTACAGCCCCACACGCTCTGTGAGCTTCACCACCAGGTGGGCCTCCGCTGCCAGAGTCTGTGCCACAGGGCTGCTGAGCACGAGGTTGCACAGGCACTTGAGGGACTCCAAAACAACATCCATGTCTGCGGACTCGCGGACGGACCCCTCGGAGACAGAGATGCCAGCGTGGCCGGCCAGTGCCTGCATGCTCTGGCGGCTGGTGAAGGGGTCCAAGCAGCTGCGGTCCCGGGACAGGATTCGGACACTCTGCAGCCAGGTGACACGGTGGGAGGGCGGCAAGCCCTGTTCCAGGGCGGAGACCAGCAGCTCCGCCAGTCTCTGCGGGCAGGGAGAAGAGCGGCTCTACCAGGTCCCTCCTCCTGGGGCCACCCGTCCCTGCCCCTTTACCCCTCGCGCCAGCACCCACCTTCCGGTCCTCCTGCTGGGCGTCATCAAACGTGAAGCTCTGGGAGTGCTGCAGAGAGAACCAGCGAATTCAAGTCCAGAGCGGGGCAGGATCCGCGTCCGCTGCTCGAAACCAACGGCAGCGTCTACATGCGCCCCCGCCCGACGCACCTGCCGCCCAGCCGGTGCGTCCCACACTCCCCCCAACACCGCATCCCGGACCCGGCCCCCGACCCGCCGCGTCCCCGGTGCTCGCGGACACAGCCCTGCCTCGCTCTCCCACTCCTCCACTCGCTCTCCCACCACGCCCCCGCGGCCTCGCTCTCCTACCCCCCATTGCTCTCCCACGCCCCCCC